TCACTTCCCCCGAGGGCTTCAAGGTATATTACTCCATGAAATTCGATTTCAAAGTCACCAACAACGAGACATAATACGAAGCGCTTATTGCAGGACTAAAGTACGCAAGGGCCCTCAGAGCAGCTCGTCTGAAGGTAAGGATGGACAACCAGCTGGCAGTCACGCAGATGAACGGCACCGCCAAAACTCGGGAGGAACAGATGAAGGCCTACAAAGAGCTGATAGAGGAGCAAAATGTGCAGTTCGAGCAGGTGATTATCGATCTGGTACCCTAGGTAGAAAATGCTGAGGCTGACATTATATCCAAGCTAGGCAATCCTCTATCCGAGGACCAGGCGACGCTCATCCCTGGGCACATCAAGGGGTTTGCCCGGCAGGAGGTGTTCCTTCAACCAGCAACGGAGACCATCCAGTGATCAAGGTACATGCTGTTTCTTTTGCAGAGCCTAGTCGGGCGAAGGAGGTAGCTGATTATCTCAAGGATGGAACCTTGCCCCTTGACAAAGATGGGCAAACTTCTGGAAGAGCCTCATGGATAAAGAGACGAGCTCCTTGTTTCGAACTTATCAATGGAGAGTTATACAAGAAGACGTTCGGCGGTCCATACCTCAGATGCTTACCGCCGGACCTAGCAGCAACAGTCATGGAAGAGATTCACGAAGGCATCTTCTCCAGTCACCAGGGCCCCTGGACTCTAGCAAGGAAGATCATCTTATAGGGGTACTACTGGCCGACCATCCAGCAGGATTGCTTCAACCACACCCAGAAGTGTGCAGTGTGCCATCAATATGCACCCATGCCAGGAAGGCCAACCAGCTTCTATACCGCGATGACCGTCACCTTACCCTTTGCAAGATGGGGGATAGATTTGCTAGGACCTTTACCTAGGACGACCGGTGGCAAGAAGTTCATAATTGTGGCTATCAATTACTTCACCAAGTGGGTAGAGGCCGAACCCTTGCAGAATATCACAGAGTTCCAGTGTTAGCGTTTCGTCTGGCAGAACATCTTATGTCGTTTCGGTATCCTGGAGCAGATCATCACATATAATGGCCGGTAGTTCGTCGGCAAGGGGTTTGAAGCATACTTAGCTAAATGGGGCATCAGACACTCCAGGGCTTCGGTGGCATACCCACAGGCCAACGCCCAGGTAGAGAATTTGAACCGGACCTTCATGGACGATATCAAGAAGAAATTGGAAGACTGCTTCTCAACCCTGCTGGAGCAACTGAATTACATCTTGTGGACGTACATGACAACTCTGAGGACAACGACTAGGGAAACTCCTTTCGCTCTGACGTACATCTTCCAGGCCAAAGTCCCCACTGAGGTACTCATGCCTACGCACCGGACGTTGCACTTCCGGCCGGAGCAAAATGAGGAGAACCTACGAGCCGTGTTGCATTTCATTGAAGAAAGGAGGGACCTAGCCGCATGGCGCATGGAGGAATACCATCGAGCCACCGAGAGGTGTTTCAACAAGGCAGTTAAGGTCAGGGAAATCAAGGTTGGGGACCTGGTGCTGCGGAAACGGGAGAAGAGTAAACCACTCGAAGGCGGTAAGATGGCCAAGAACTGGGAAAGACCGTACAAGGTCTACAAGAAGCATTCCTGGGGGACGTTCCTCCTCCAAAACCTGGACGGCTGAGCCACCGACATGTGGAATGTGGAACACCGACATGTGGAATGTGAAACAAAACACCGGGGAATTCTTAGAAGAACAAACCCGTTTCCCCATCAAAATCGCGACCGAACTCAGCCTAGGATCCAAAGGATCAGGCCAGAACATGTATAACGAGCGGACGGTGAAACAAAACACCGGGGAATCCTTAGAAGGACAAACCCGTTTCCCCTTCAAAATTGCGGCCGAACTCAGCCTAGGACCCAAAGGACTAGGCTAGAGCAGGTACGACGAGCAGATGGTGAAACAAAACACCGGGGAATCCTTAAAAGGACAAACCCATTTCCCCATCAAAATCACGACCGAACTCAGCCTAGGATCCAAAGGACCAGGCCAGAGCGGGTACGACGAGTGTGTGGTGAAATAAAACACCGGGGAATCCTCAAAAGGACAAACCCGTTTCCCATCAAAATCGCGGACAAACTCAGCCTAGGATCCAATGGACCAGACCATAGCAGGTACGACGAGCGGGTGGTGAAACAAAACACCAGGGAATCCTCAAAAGGACAAACTCGTTTCCCACCAAAATCGCGGCTGAGCTCAGCTCATGTTCCAAAGGACCAGGCCAGAGCAGGTACGACGAACGGGTGGCGAAACGAAAAAACAAGCCCAAAAAAGGGCTGGGGAATCCCCAAAGGGGATAAACCCGCTCCTCACTGACTTTGATGGCCTAGCTCAAGCTCAGGATCCAAAGGACCGGGCTAAAGGGCATGTACGATGAACGGATGACGGATTAAAGTATCAGGAAATCCCCAAAGGGGATAACACTGTTCCTCACAAACTTTGGCGATCTCGCTCAAGCTCAGGATCCAAAGGACCAGGCTAAAGGGCAGGTACGACGAACGGATGACATAACAAAGAATCAGGAAATCCCCAAAGGGGATAACAATGTTCCTCACAAACTTCGGCGATTCGGCTCAATATCACGATCCAAAGGACCGGGCTAAAGGGCGGGTACGACGAACAGAGGATGGAACAAGATAACAACATCAAGGAATGAAAGACGATCATAGTAACAAGTGCTATATTTTATTCATTGGCTCTATTGGCTGAGAAATACACATGCTACACGAGTTTATTGTGAAATCAGAATTACAACATAATGAAAGTTGTCATGTTCTATTGCCCAAGTCAAGGAGCACGCCCTGATCTCTACAAGTCTCACCAGGATCCGGCCAGAGGGGTTGTTCATGGCGGGATGATTAGGGAGCAGTTGATTGAGTTCAGAAGGGCAACAAGTCTGCAGAACTTGACAAACTCCATCGGCTATTATTTTGTTGTAAAGGGTTTGCATTTTAGCACTCTAGCATTCTAGCAATTATATGAGTTCATAGCTCAGTACTGTACGAACGGCCTTTCGGCTTTGTAATCGAATCAGTGTATTGAAACTCTTAGTTGGGCCTTTCCTTGCTTGTTCTTCATCTAACTTGCTCTTTCTTCCGTTCGAAACCCTTGGGACTCGTGTTGAGCCTACGGGTTGAAGGAATAAACCTCAACACGACTATTCTATTACATCTATTGAAAGTAGATTTGAACAATTTCTGTTTTATGAACGAATTTTTGGTTTTTTATTTGACATAAATAAATTAAAAACTTTAGAAGAGAATGAATCAGAAAAATCATGTCTTAATCTTGAAAGTATTTTTTTTAACACTTAGATATTGATGGATTTGATTTATTTTCAGAGTTAAAAGTTTTAAAAGAAACTCTAGATAAAGAAAACACTCCACTTGAGGTGCTAAATTACATCAAGAGATTATATTCTTTTCTAAACACATGTATTGCATATAGAATATTATTAACTATTCCCGTGACAGTTGCTTCTGCTGAAAGAAGTTTTTCAAAATTAAAATTATTGAAATCTTATTTAAGATCAACTATGTCGCAAGATCGATTAAACGGATTAAGCATATTATCTATAGAAAATAATATTCTAGAATATTTAAAATATAAAACACTAATAAACGATTTTGCAACTGAAAAAGCAAGAAAAATAAATAAATTTCTTTGACATTTTAAATCCCCCCTAAAAATAGGCCTCGTTTAACTTTTTGCCTCAAGCCTACTTATCTCTACGACACGGCCCTGCCCCTATCTGAAAATGTTTTTCTACGGTGAGTATTCTCACAGTAGAAAATTATTACTAAAATGTAAAGTCATTATCAAAGTAAGGAGCGTAATTAGTTTGGTAATACATAAAAATGTATTGATTAGTAATTGTTTTTCTCTTTGAACAATTATTACTTGACATCTACAACTTAACCTAGAGAGTGTTCCAATAGCTTTTGCTTTAAAAAAAATCACATTTTTAGTGATTTTGGAAAAAAGTGCTTCATGGTAAAAGTTGGTGGTGTTTGATAAAAAATTATTTTTTGATAATTAAAAGTTAATGGTGTTTGGTAAAATATGTGTTTTTGCGCAACACAAAAAGTAAAAAGCAGATTCTAGGTTTTAGTTTTTAAGTTTTTAATTTAAGCAGAAGTTATAAATTGAAAACACTCTTTTCAATTTTTAACCAAAAAGCTGAGTGAAGTTATACTTTTACTTATAACTCCACTCAGGTCCGACCCAGGGCATGTGCATCTAGCCCATTAGCACAAGGCCCAAAATTTTGAAAGGCCCCAAAAAATTGTAGTAGTACTCGGCAGTCAGCCCAAATACAGCGCCCAAATTTTAAAAGAGAACGAACGAACGAAGTGCAGAAGAGAATTAGAACGAATGAAGACGGGAACGAAGGGAACATGCGGTGAGGAAGACGGAAGAGAGAAGACGGGAAGAGAAAGCTCTAGGCAGCAACGCCCGCCGACGAGTTGACGACCAACGCCAGGCTGCAGCCTGCCACTACAAAGCGACGCCCCGCCTCCAGTCTCCAGAAGCACGACCGTACCATCTATCCGCACTTCGCCCTACCTGCAGGGGCGGAGGGAGGGGTGGCCTGGCTGGACCCTGGCCCATTTTTTTTTTGTATTATATATAATTTTTTTAAGGCTTGGATGTTGTTGTTGTATATAATTTTTTTAAAAATATATAGAATTGATCTAGTGCAAAAAAAATAATGGCACGCCCTAGTACAAATAAATAAAGGGAAAGTTCCCGAAATATGACTAAAATAGTTTCAAAATTTCAAAATAGGACTGTCATGTTTTTTATTTTCAAAATAAGACTAATTACTGTCATATTTACAAAATACTGTCATATTTGAAGTCTAGTACTGCCAAAACATGACAGTAATTAGTCATATTTTTGGAATAAAAATATGACAATCCTGTTTTGGAATTTTCAAAATATTTTAGTCTTATTTTGGTTAATATCCGGTAAATAAAGTCCACAATCCACTGCAGCCAGAAAGAAGAGCGCAGAAGCGGCAGAACCAAAGCCCGGGAAAAGAAGCGCAGAACCAACGCCAAGCCCAGCAGGACCACTCCGTCCTCTCGCTGTCTCGCATCGCCTATTCTCTGGACGGCGGACGCCGCCTCTCCTCCGCTCCGCTGCTCGCCCTGAGCAGCTACCAGTCTAAGGCTTTGACTGCTGACCTGCTTCTCCAGACTCCCGTTCTTTCGACGAGTCGAGGTACTCGGGTTTCAGTTTTTGGTTTTTACAATTTTTAGTTTATGGTAGCTAGAGCTGGTAAGTCCAATTCTGTCATCATCCTTGAGTTCACTGTGCCACTTTTTTAGTTAAATTGTAGTAGACTAGGGTTGGGGGTCGATAGCATATTATGTTCCTTAATAACTTAATTTATACTCCGTATCTATTTTAGGAGGCACTATGGGTACAGGGGTAAGACTGCGTACATCCGACCCCCTTACTTCACCGTAGGGGGAGCCTTTGCGCCACTGGGTAAATGAAAATGAAATGAAATGATCTATTTTAGGAGGGTTTCTTTACATCATTTGTTCGATCTTTAGGAGCAAGATTTGAATTTCTATAATTTCTTTACAATACATAGCTTTTAATAAACACAAGATCTATTTTAATTTAATAACAAACCAATCTAGCTGCTGCTATTTTCAGTTTAAGCGAATTTATTACAGTTTTGAAGGCTGAAAAAGGATTGTTGTAAGGATTAACCGAGTTGTACCAATGGGTTATTTTAGTGACTTAGTGTGTCACAATTTATTTGTGTGCTTTGAATCCTATAATGAAAAATTAGGATTTATTACACTATTGTCTCTTTTAAAATTTTTTATAATGTTTGTAGTGTACGGTCGGCCCAGGGTAAATATCGGTCCTGGCTACGCCCTTGCCTTACCAGTACGACAGTCCACGCTAGGCCGCTACCCACGGTATTCGGTAAGCAACCCAGTTACTCAGAACCTACCAAAGTTTTAAAATTTTGTTATTGATCGCTTAATGAACGCTACTTTAACTTTCGTTTTTGTCCGCCAGTCTTGACCGTGTGGCGAGGAGTTGTGCGGCGATAAGGCGCAAGTGATCGGAAGCTGCTAGACTGAGTAGATGGATTTGAGGAGCTGTACGGGAATCTGTCTATCGACGAAGAGGATGATAAGTGCTTCCTGTTAGTTCAATTAAACAAGCTAAAGATCAAAGTTTTATGTTTTGTCACTGCTGTCCATTAATATTATTAAATTAAATTCAAAAGACAAAAATATGATTTAGTTTAAAATTTTCCAACAAAGTGACATTTTTAGTGATTAGTTCACAGTGACTTATCATTCTAAAATACTCCCTCTGTTCTTTTTAGTTGCAACATCCCCTTTTTCATGTTTGACAACGCATAACTTTAACTGTCATTATATTTAATTCTCTATTAGTAAAAACATTTTAAAAATCAGATTATGAAACATTATAATAAGATAAATTCAACAATATTTTTCTCAATTAATTCACATACATTAATAAATAAAATATAGTCAAAGTAGAGTACATGAATAGTGTACAAATTTCAATGTTGCAACTAATACGATACGGATGATAGTATATTATAGTGACTAGTTCACACTGACTAGTCATATTTTTGTCCCAAAACATAACTAGTCGTATTTTGACATCCAAAAAAAACTCTATATTATCGTGAAAAAACTACATGTATATTAGTAATAGAGTTTCTTTGGATGTCAAAATATGACTAGTTATGTTTTGGGACAAAAATATGACTAGTCACGGTGAACTATTCACTATAATATATTTTGAAATGAGAAGTCACTGTGAACTAATCACTAAAAATGTCACTTTGTTGGAAAATTTTAAATTAAATCATAATTTTGTCTTTTTAATTTAGTAATATCAATGGAAAAAGTCAACGTCCAATTTACTAACATCCGTTCTTCTTTAGGTTATTACCGTTCCGACTAGTTCACAACAACCAAATCTAAAACTTTGGTCTTTAGCTCGTTACCGTCCCAAGTCCCAACCATTCCTACACGAAGCACTTATCGTCCTCTTCGTCGATAGACAGATTCCCGTACAGCTCCTCAAAGCCCTGTATTCAGTCTAGCAACTTTCGATCACTTGCGCCTTGTCGCCGCACAACTCCTCGCTGCACGTACAAGATCGGCGGACAGAAACGAAAGTTAACGTAGCGTTCATTAAGCAATCAATAACAAAATTTTAAAACTTTGGTAGGTTCTTGCCTATCTGTGTTCAGAAACTATATAGACTACTTCCGGTTGAAGGAGAAATGTCTGAGCACGTAGAAGAAGAGAAATCATTCAAAGAATTAGGAGTGTGTGACCAACTTGTGGAGGCTTGCCACAATTTGGGCTGGAAAACTGCTTCTAAGATTCAAGCTGAGGCTATTCCTTATGCTCTGGAAGGTTCGTCCAAGTTTTAGTTCTGTTTTTCAATTCCATGCTTCATTTTTTTTCAGTTTCTGCTGTATGCTATATCTGATTAGGTCCTAAAAACAGAAGAATTAAATTGGGTACTGTTTAGGGAAAGATATAATTGGGCTTGCACAGACGGGCTCAGGAAAGACGGGAGCTTTTGCAATTCCAATACTGCAAGCACTTCTAGATGCTCCGCAACCATTCTTTGCATGCGTGCTCTCTCCGACTAGGTTAGTGATTTCTTTTACCTTTTCTCTCTCAATTCATTTTTATTGCTCTATGGTATAATTTTTTTCTCTATTTATCTTCCAGGGAACTTGCAATCCAAATTTCTCAGCAGTTTGAAGCACTTGGAGCTGGATTTAATGTCAAGTGTACAGCTGTGAGCTTTCATTGAAATAAATTACTCCGTATAACAATATTTCAAATTTATTGCTTATCTTCTATGATTTGTTCAGTATGCCAAATACAAAAGGTCCAAAGTAAAAGGAAGTATTTGTAGGGCAACTTTAGGAGGACTAAAGTTAAAAGGCATAATGGGGTGAAATTGGAAGGGGAGAGCTATGAGTATGCCAAGCATAAATTGTTTTGAGAGGGCTTGTGATACTTGAACCATTTGAGACATTTTTTTTCCTCTTTTTTTGCATGTTCTTTTTTCTTCCATTCTTCCATCTCCATATACTACTTAAACTTGACTTTTGCAGATAACTGACAACAAAATGTCAATTCAAAACATTTAGTAACTAAAAAATGAGATGTGTTAATGTCTCACAAATCATACATGCATTTGTCTAGATTTCAGAGCCCATCATTATTTATTGTTCAAGGTTATAGTGAGAAAAGTAGATTAGTCTCATGTCCTTATATTTATATATTAAAAGTATACACATCGGGAAGTATTTCCCTAGTTACATCATCACCAATTATGTACCCAGACAGACATTTCTACCCAACAAGCTGAGTCAATATTCAATACACAAAAGCCTTATTATGATGTAAACATGAAGTTATCATTGAAATTATTTCAAATAGAAATTTAGCTATGCTATTTTCACTTTCTTAATAATCAAGTTAAATCTTCTTGCACAATTTTCGTCTAGCTCGTAGGGGGGCTTGATCAAGTACAACAGAGCATTGCCCTTGCAAAACGACCACACATTCTTGTAAGTATTGCAGTTTCTGTATTAAATGTTTACATCTTGTCACATTAATATCCTGAATGAGTATGTGTTTATTGCCAGCCTACAAGCAAGGTATGAAATCAGAACTACGATAGTGAATCATAGGGCCTATTTTTTGAAGTGTGAGTTGTACTGAATTATGAATAGTAAGATACATGATCAAGTATGTCTATACTACACGTATATTTACGTGTATTTTCGCGTGGATATACATTCCTAAATCATAACAAAATAAAAAGTATTTGAAATCAATAAAGAGTGCATATCCTAAATAGTTATAGCAATTACATTTCTTTAAGCTTGAGCCATGTCAGACTGCCAAGATTAGAACAGAGTGATAAGATGATGTGATTTTCAAACCACTCGATGGATATACTCAACCCATTTGGTTTCTAACAAGCTGAATTGTTTTCTAGGTGGCAACACCTGGTCGTCTTTTAGATCATCTGTCAAATACCAAAGGATTTTCTCTCCGTGCCTTGAAGTTTTTGGTACTCTGTTTCTCTCTGTTTTTGAGTTAATTGGAGTTCTGATTACCTATATATTCTCTTATGGGACTACCGGGCCTTACTTTAATGAAGGTGTTGGATGAGGCAGATAGATTACTGAATGAGGATTTTGAAAAAGCACTTGATGATATTCTGAATAATATTCCCCGTGAGAGGAGGACTTATTTGTTTTCTGCCACCATGACCACAAAGGTTTGTACTAAATTTTTATTGCAAATAAGAAAACCTGTTACCTCTACAAATGTTGTTCATCCAGAGTAGTGCCAATGCGAAAATGGTTTTATTATGTTGCTCAAGACATTTAGTTGAAGCTGGTATGATTTGTATTGCGTTAAATATTTTGGTGCCTAAGTTTGTCTTTTGGACTTGTAGATATCATGATACCTATAAAGTTTTGTGCCAATAACAACCTGAACTCATCGCCGTCCAGATAAAACCAATTGTTATGAAAATTTGGATTTCATCTCGACAAAACCTTCAAAACAGGTCACGATAAGAAGGGTTTCCGGCATAAAAGTTTAAACAAATAAATAACCCTATAAATTTCATGCCACTGACCCTAATGTAGTTCGAGGTTGAAATTAAGGTGCCGCTCATGATGGTTTACAGCCTTTGTTTCTTAATTCATACTAGCGAATAATAACCATCTCTTTCCAATGCATATTTTTGGGTCTTCATTATAGAGCATTAGTAGAGATGACTATCAAGCAACAAGACTGTATCTATTCTGGAAAAACACATAAGAGAATCAATTTTTCCCTATTGTTCACATTACTATTGATGACTATGCTTTTGTGAGCTATGCGGTACATCGAAGACATGGCTGGAAAGTTATTGAAGGAACAAAGATATTATTAGTAAATATATAGTTTATAGCCTGTTTCTTAATTCTTACTACCGGATAATAATCCTCTCTTTCCAATGCATATTTGTGGGTCTTCATTATAGAGCATTAGTAGGAATGAGTATTACGCAAGTCTATATCTATTGTCATTTAAAAACACACAAGAGAAACCATATTTCCATTTTGTTCACTTTATTACTGATGACTAATTTTTTCTGAGCTATGTGCTACACTGAAGACATGTCTGGAGAGTTGATGAAGGAATGAAGATATTATGTGTTGATAAACATATCACTCTGTGTTGTGCAGGTGGGTAAACTTCAGAGGGCTTGTTTAAGGAATCCTGTAAAGGTGAGATGACTATTTTCTTTGCAACAAGTGTTGGCTAGCTTTGCTCATAAGTTTTGACTCCTTCGCGTTTAATTTCAGATTGAGGCGGCCTCAAAGTATTCGACAGTTGATACTTTAAAACAGCAGTATTGCTTTTTTCCTGCAAAGTTCAAGGTTTGCAATGTGTTTTTGAATGCTGTATACTAGACTCATTAAGTGTCCCACATCGGATGTTTACTAGTATCTAATCTAATATGTAAGTGTGAGGTAAACCTCACACCTTGAGGATACTTTTGGAGTGAGTCAAGTGTCTGGTGTCTCGTTTAGGATGTTTACTCAATTTAATATGGTACCAGTCTGGTATGATGGTAGTTTGTTTGTTTGCACCTTAGGGTTGGTTTTGCCCATTTGTCCACTACTCACATTTTCCAGCCCGACATGGATTGTGGAGGCGTGTTAAGTGTCCCATATCATAGGTTAGACACATATAAGTGTGAGATAAACTTTATGTTTTCATTATCCTGTTGGCGTAAGTGAGACCCAATTTAATAAAACAAAATCTAAAGATGTGATGTATTGCATGATTTGTTGATGAAATTCCCAGTAGACCAAGTTTGGGATTGATGAATATTTCCCATATGTTACAGTGTTACACCAACACTTGAGCCAAACCAATGTTTTTTTCTATTTTTCTATTTAATAATTCTGTTGAACCTTATTTTGTGTTGAAATTATGTTTTCCATTTTCACAGGATTGCTATCTTGTCTATATACTGACTGAGATGTCTGGGAGCACATCAATGGTGTTCACACGTACTTGTGACGCGACTCGTCTTTTAGCTTTAATGCTTCGAAACCTTGGCATAAGAGCCATACCAATTAGTGGCCAAATGAGCCAGGTTACATATTTTTCCTTTGTGATGTTTGAAGACTTCTGCTTCTATTTTAATTTTTAAACTCAAGTTCTGTTATCTCCCTGAGTTCCTTTTTAAAAATTTAAGTACTCCTTATGTACTATTTTACGGACAATTGTGACAGGGAAAAAGACTTGGAGCATTAAATGAATTCAAATCAGGAAAGTGCAACGTTCTAATTTGTACGGATGTTGCGAGTCGAGGACTTGATATTCCATCTGTTGATATGGTTATTAACTATGATATCCCAACAAACTCCAAGGTCTGGCATCATTGATTTCCACTTTAAATTGTTGTATGCTGCGTTCTTCACGAGTTTATGGACTATGGAATCATAAAATCCATACATTGTCTTGTACTCTTGTATATGAAATCCTTTGTATATGAAATTTGACATTGTCTTTTGTTTATAGAGGGAAAATAGCCATTGCACCTCTCATAGTTGTCATGGCACATGGCGACATTAATGGCGCACAGGCATTTCCCCATGGCGATGGCGCAAATATGGCGTCGCCACGTGACAAAAAAGAAAAAACCTAAAAATCGAATTATAGACGCTATAATTGATCAACTCAACAATCAAAACATGATAAACAAGTTGAATAACAACATTCTAACTAAAACATGTAAAGTAAATAGTTTATAGTACTTCCAAAAACATAATATTCAAAAAAAGTTTCATGTCATAGCAAAATATGTTAGCTTGTTATTGTTTGATGATTATCAGTGTTACCTTATAACTATAGACTCCCAATAAAACCTTGTTGCTTCAGTAAAAATTCTATTAAACACAACCATTGAAAATTAAAGAATGATATGGTCAAAGTATCAATTTAAATACTTTGAGTTTTACGGTAAAAATTTCATTTTAAAATGCTATGAGTATAAATTGATAAATTGTTACATTAATTGAACATAGCATTTAAATTATCTGAACAAATCATCTAAGTATCTAACTAAATTTACTTTAAATTGATAAATTGATAAAGTAACATAGCTGTGTGTAATATGCCCAGATTTCAACAATCGAATATACTAATAATAATAGAAAGAATTTAAACAGTAGAAGAGAAATTCAACATCAACTTATACCGTGTATTAAGAATGATGAATCCATGAATAACAATTACACAATACTCGAACGAATAAGCTAAAGAGAGAATTTCTATTTTACTGGCTCTACTGAGAATAATATGCGGAAAAAGAATGTGTAGAGACTTAGTATTCTAGAGAGAGCTTCGAGAATGATATGAATATTCTAATTGTGAAACCCTCTCGTATTTTGGTCTACACATCCTATATTTATAGGAGTGTTGGCTGAACATTCTAATTCCATTAGGATGGACCGAATGGGTCTAATTAAATGGCCCCTAATTAATTACAAAGGTCCACTGATTAAATCCTAATTAAAAAAATATATATTTAATTAAATTGAACACAATAAAATATATCCTAACAATCTCTCCCTTTGTGATCAATTTGCAATGAAGCGCAGGTTATCTTTGTCTTGATCTTCAGAGGATATCAGCTTCTTGTCTTCTTAGAAAGGCTTCGTGAAGAACTCCTTGCAATCTCAAAATCTTGCATGCAGTTCTTGCCTTTAGAAGTTGCTCTTAATCAACTTGAATGAAATCCGATAATGCCTCTAGAATGAATATTCTTGACTTGCTTCAGGCGCGCACATGATTCTTCTTCAGTTCTTGAGTATCCAACTTCTGTCTCCTTCAGAATGTAGTCTTTTTGACTATTTGAAGTCAATGCTTTTGTGGAGAACTTGTCAGTGGTACAGTGGAAAATGATGATTGAGTTATGAGTACATGCTGACCATTTGATGTGAAGCTGAGTGGGCAAATGTGGGCAAATGTTTGTTGTTGGAGGAGAGAAGCGTCCGAGAATGATCTTTGAAATTTCATAAGCATTTGGACCGCTCCCCCCTCATGACGATCTGATGAATCAGGACGTCATGCCTTTGTTCATCCTTTGATACTGCAAAACAAAACTAAAATCCGGATACATTAAGGTGTTCCGTTAGCACAACATCAATGTAAACACTGATGTGTGGCCTGTATAAAATGATAGAAACGTTACAGCTCTAACAGGACTTCCAACCGATCATCGTGAGGCATCCAAAGTAGATGTCACTCTGGTCGTTATGACATTATCACAATGATATGCAAAGAAAAATTGTAGCCCCCGGGGTCGCGTAGACTCCCGTTATCATCACTCTAGAGGTATCCTTGTCTTTAAATCTTGTCTGTTTAGATTTTCTCACGGATCACGGAGAGGTATCCTTTAGAGAATAGCTTTGACCAGCTTTGACCTTTGTCAGAAAAAATAGCCTTTAACTTTGAGATTTAATTATTTTTTAATCTCAAGGTTGACTCTTGAAAGCTTTGACTGCAGTGTTGAACTTTGATGTTGAAGATTTGAGCTCAAAAATCGAAATGGGCTCAAAACTAGCTTTTAAAGTGAGAGTTTTTTTTTTTAAAAATGTACTTCTACAAGTGTAGGAAAAAGTAAGCTTGATAACTTATCCCACACCTAAACTCCTTGGAAACTTTTGAGCCTATATATATGGAGCATTCCTTCCTTATTAGCAAAGTGAGAATGAGAAGAGGGGAGCTCTCGCGCACATGGGATTTCAGCTTCCAGTTCAAAATAAAAAATTCGCACCCCTCTGCGCGGGTGACCTGTGGACATGAATGCCGGAAAATTTGGCTGGTCTCAAGAGACAATTTTGTCCCTTTTTTTTAATTGACTGTTGAATGATCTTAAGGTGAGAACTGTTCTGATTATAAAGATTTCAGGTGCTGCTTGATAAAAGATTTTGGGCCTCGTCAGCTAAGGATTTCGGGTGTTGCTTTCGAAATCTGAAATCTTGATGATGATTTCGAGTGAGCGAAGAAGGATCTCGGTGTAGCCACTTCAGATTTCGGACCACCTATTGTGCAATTTAAAATTAGGATTTTGGACGATGCTTGACTTCTTCAACTCGGGAGTCCTTTAAATGAAAAGATTTTGGATCACCGAAATCTTCACTGATCCAAATTAGGATTTCGACAGAGCGAGCAATAGGAAATCAAATCCGTTTGGGATACTTCTTCCGTGGATTTCCTTGTAGCAGCAACCTTCCAAAATTAGTAAATCACCAAGAACAGATCTAAATTAATCTGACCAAAAATTGTGATTTTGATCAAATTAATTCCAGAGAAATTCAAGGATTCCCAAGAACAGAATTGCGTCGAGGCTCTAATACCAATTGTGTGTAATATGCCCAGATTTCAACATCAACTTATACCGTGTATTAAGAATGATGAATCCATGAAGAACAATTACACAGTGCTCGAACGAATAAGCTAGAGTGAGAATTTCTATTCTACTAACTCTACTGAGAATAATATGCGGAAACAGAATGTGTAGAGATTTAGTATTCTAGAGAGAGAGCTTCGAGAATGATATGGATATTCTAATTGTGAAACTCTCTCATATTTCGGCCTACACACCCTATATTTATAGGAGTGTTGGCCGAACATCCTAATTCCATTAGGATGGGCCGAATGGGTCTAATTAAATGGCCTCTAATTAATTACAAAGGCCCACCGATTAAATCCTAATTAAACAAAGATAAATCTAATTAAATTGAACACAATAAAATATATCCTAACAATAGCTTTTAACATAAAGGCTGAGTTGTTCTACTGTTGGTCTATTGCTTTGGTTTAACTTCACGTGTATTACTTGCACAACAGATGTATTACTTTGTGTCTTTATTTATTTTTAGTTAGGGTTGTTAGTATAATGGGCTAACATATTAATTTTTTATTAGAGTTTTATTAATGGCCTTACATATTAATTTGGCCGATCAGCCAAAAAATCACAAACTAAACACGCTCTGTTTTGTTAAATAGCATGGCGCAGTGCCATGGCTATGGAGATGGCGATCAAATGCCGTCGCTACTGGTATATTCAACGCCACGATCTCTTTTCATGGCACATGAGTGATTTGCGCCACATGGCGCATGCGCCATTCTGCACCATCAACAACCATGGCCCCTCTTAGGTTTGCTCAAATTAAATAATATCCTACCCTATACTGATGGTAGTAACCATCACAATAAATGGTGCAAGATTAGGAACATTGTATAACTATTAACCCCTCCGACCCAAAATTTACTTCCATTTTTTACGCACCTTTATTAAAAAATTGAAATTGTATTGTTTTAGTTGACTTTTGAAAATACAAAAAAAAAACGTTAGCTAATTTGGCTATTGGGGAAGGGGTAGTTTGTTTTTCAATTATACAAGGTTCGGGTATTTAATTTGACCATACCATCTTCTGTTCCTCTGCCCTAAAAAAATCTCTTCTTCCTCTAGTTTTATTTTAACTCATTTATACTTTTTTATTTTATCCTCGATTCCTCGGACAGCGGCAAGTAAGTTAAATTTAAGATATATTGGCATACCACTAATTTTGAATCGGAGTTTAGTGTTTAGTGCTTCAAGCTTACAAGGTTCCATAATGTATTGCTTTGCTATATTGTTTGGTTAATGATTATCAGCATACCAGTGATGCCTCTTACTGGCGTTTTTTCAATATACAATAACAGTATAATCTTAACACCCAATGAGTTAAGATGCAATCTGCTGATGTTATCCACTAGTATCTTCATCTTCCATTTTACTTCGACAATTTCACTGCTCAATTTGTAGTTCATAAATTTAATTGATGATGACAGGCTATTACTGCCTTTATGTATTGCCTTGCTCAATTTGTTGTTGATTACTAACACAGTAATTTTTATTCCAATGGTATGCTTGGTGGAGGTGAATCTTTGTTCTTTTTGGCTAACAACTTATTTTCATGTCTTCTGGTCTTTACGAAATTGGGCTGCAGGATTATATACACCGAGTTGGAAGAACTGCTAGAGCCGGTCGATCTGGAGTTGCTATTTCACTAGTAAACCAATATGAGGTGCAGTGGTATAAGCAGATAGAGAACCTCATCGGTAAGAAGTGCTGGCTGTGTAATTTCTAGTAACTATCCAGCTGATGTGTTTACACTCTTAATCCTTCGTTGGGCTGAGTAAATAAATACGTTTTCATCTCTTAGGCAAGAAATTGCCCCAGTATCCTGCTCCAGAAGAGGAAGTTTTACTATTCTTGGAACGTGTAACAGAGGCCAAAAGAATCTCCCAAATGGTATTGAACTTCCACATCAACATCTTCTATCCTCTTGAGTATCCCACAAACTTCAGTATTCTCCTTTTCTGTTTTAGTTTGAAAAAAAAACTAAAAACCAAATTTTGGAAACAAGTAAAGTAGGTTTTTCCTACAATGTTCCTAAAATTCATTAACTAGCACCGTTTTCACTACACTAAAATTCATTTTTTTTTCTCTGTTATTTTATCTTGGTCATAAATTTGTCATGATTTGAAAGTTGTAGTTTATAATTTTCTGTTTGTAATTCCAAATTAACATTGATCGATATACTAGTATGTATGAGTAGTTTTTGTTTTTATATAACTTGTACAAGCAACTTTTAATAATATATAAAATGTAAGTTAGTCGGAGCAGGCACATAAGATGGATGAATAAGTTAGTGCAGTGTAACATTGAGCGTGTCTAACTTCCACCTTTTGTTGCAGAAAATTAAAGAAACTGGAGGCCATAGGAAGCGAAGAGGTGGTGATGATGAGGAAGAAAATGATGGATATTTGGGTATTAAGAGAGGGAAGTCATCTCAGAAGCCAAAGAGGAAATGATATGAAAACAGGCTTTCAAGTTCGATCTTCATATCTTTAGTTCGTTTTCTCCTGCCCCAAGTCCCTGCGAGGGCCGAAGCTTGCAAAGGGTGAAAGGGGTATTTTATTCCATCATCTCCGCCAAAATCCTAATGTGCAATTGTATTTTTAAATTGATGTCTAGCCAGCAAAATTGTCTTAAGATTTATTTTAGTTATATACTCTTCGTCCTAAACTATTAGTCAGTTTAGCCAATTCTTTTGTCACGATCCCTTTTCCTTGATAACATTTATCCAATTTTGTTTGCGAAACAATTAATTCATTTCACGTAAACGCACTGAAACTATTTTGTTTTTCTTTCCTCCAAAACATTTTGTAATTATGTTTATTTCTTTGCCAAAAGAAGCTAATTAGTCAGTCGATAAGTAGCTTATTACCTACAAAGCTATTAAGGCTATGTTTGGCATAGGGATGGACTCGGGTTGGGTCAACCAGCCTGGCCCGGTAAAGTTTCTGGGCGGGCTCCGGGCCTCAAAAAACACGAACCGGCCTGGCCAGACCTGGTTTGGGCCATTTTTTTTCAAATTTTGGAAAAGGTAAATGGGTTAGGCTGGGTGTTTTGGATGAGTTTGGGGTGTCGGGGGTGGGGGAGGGGTAGGAACTAGGAAGTAATTAGAAAATCAAAAAAAGGAAATGGGGTCAACTCGGCTTGACCCAACCAGGGCCCGACTTGGACCCGCTAGCTACCCGGGCTGGTTCTGGCCTCAAGTCGGTTAGCTAATTAATTTAAAACAAGCCCTGTTCGGATGAATGGCTAGAAGTAGGGGTGGATTCGGGTTGGGCTGGGTTCGGGTTGGGCCTAGGCCCGGGCAGGCTGGTGAGTCTGAATAGGCGGACCCGGAATCGGCCCGGGTAGCCACCGGGTCTGGGCTGGGCCTTGGGCTTGGTTATTTTTTTGCTTACCTACCTATCCTTGAGCCCCCCCCCCCCCCCCCCCCCCAAACCCCTCCTAAACATCAAGCCCAACCCGGTTGGAGCCCAAACAAATGAAAAAAAAAATCAATTTGGCCTGAACCGGGATTGGGCCCGGCCGGGTCGGGCCTTGTTTTGGGTGACCCGAGCCTGGACCGGAAACCACTCGGGTCGGGCCTACCCGGACCGGTCATTGACCGGGCCACCGGTTCGGGCTGAGCCGGAACAGTGCCGGGCCAGGGGCCGGTTCCGGGTCAGGCCACTCGGCCCGAGTCCACCCCTAGGCCCTAGCTAGAAGAGTAGGATGAAATGGAAATTAACGAGCTTAAGCGAAACATTAAGTTAGCGTTCCTATTCAGTTGATCGTATCTCTTAAGGATGGACCCGGGCCGGTCCGGTTCCGGGCCCGGGCGGGCTTTTTTCTAGATTGTTAGGCCCGGAACCGGCCCAGGTTGATACCGGGTCCGGCCCTAACCGGGCCGGGCCGGGCTCGGGTCTATGTAATTTTTTTTGCTTTCTAATTAACCCCCGACCCCCCCCCCCCCTCTCACCCCTGACCCCTCAAACCTCCCCAAAACACCCAACCCTACCCAAGGAAAAGAAAAAAATTGAAAAAAAAAAAAAAAGTGAATCGGGCTCGGCCCGAACCGCCCGGGCCGGTTCAACAAAAGTAGGGCCCGAGCCCGGCCCGCCCATACGGTCTAAAAGCCCGGAACCGACCACAGTAACTGGCCGGTCCGGTTCACGGACCGATTTGGCCCGGTTCGGTCCATCCCTACTATCTCTTCTTGCAGCTTTCTTTGTTCTTTTGTTTCGAGTTTGGCGTATTTCATTATTTCAAACATTCATTCAGATGCTCCTTCTCTCGTGATGTTTTATTTATTTTTATTTTTTTTTCATTTATGATTTACACTGTTTGTTTTCATTTATGTTTTCATTTTCTCATATTTTCATTTCTAATCTTCACCTGATTTTCACTATTGTTTATTATTTTATTTATGCCGTTCTTGCTGCAGTCAAAGTGTCATACACTCTAAAAAATACCGGCCTATTAGAAAACTGTGATTATACCGTAATAACATATATGCACGCTCATTTATATTCTTTGTATTCAACAAACAAAATACTCCATATAATATTTCAAAATAACACAAAAATATATCAAAAAGATAAAAATGCACCTCAATTTTCTTACATTTTCTAGACACTTTCAGCTCTTTTTGCCCTATGAATTTACGTTATTCACCAATTTAGATTAAACACTTCAAAGTTAGAACAATAGCCCCTAAATCCAGTCATCCAGACATTAGCCTTCAGCTCCAGTTCGACGTGTCAAATGATGTTTTTAGTTGGACTGTTTTCAATCCCAGATCGGACCAAATCATACTTTAACAGATGAGACCAAACCAGGTTAAACTTAAACAAACCAGATCAAACTTTCATGATTAAATAAATAGACAGAGACCATACATTTATCATACATTTACCAGATCAGACCAAACCAGTTCAAACTAGGAGTGGACTCGGTCCGGGCCAATTTTTTTTTTTTGAATTTTTTTTTGATTTTTTTTTAGTTTTTGGGTTGGGCTGGGTATGATGGACCATTTGAGGTTGTTTGGGGGTGAGGGGGGGAGGATTGGGAGTTAATTAGGAAAAGCCAAAAAAAATTAACTGAGGCCCGGGCCGGGCCGGTTCCGGGCCTCCCTTTTCATGAACCGAGGCCCGGTCGGGCTCAGGCCCGAACCGGGCCTGAAGCGAAACCGGTCCACCCCTAGTTCAAACTAGGCCGTACTTAAACAGACCAGACAAGCAATTTAAGTCCAAGTAAAAAATAAAAACATGCTAGTGGATCTAAGAACTATGAATGCTTCCTTAAATCACACTTTATTAACTTTTCACTTTTTCATATTCTTCTATTTAATACTTCATGTTTTATTTTTCATGAACGTTTCCATCTATTCTTAGTTTTAGAGATAAAATTGCCTAGGTTTTAGGAGCTTCATGCGGAAGGGTAGGCCTTGTGCGTAGGTTTTGTGGCGGCGAAACTCCCTTCGGCCGCAAGATTTGAGCGATAGGCGTGAGATCCTACAGCTACTACGAAGCAACGCTACGATCTTCTCCTGGTCCGTGAGATCTATTATCCAAACTCCGACGTTTACAACAAGCTTCGACGAAGGAAACACACCAACATGACTCGTGATTATAGTGTTGTTAACGTTGGCATTTACCTTCAATTGTGACTGAATATCATTAATTCGTATAGATCTGCATCTCGACAGTGGGTATGACGATGGTTAGTTGGAATTTTTGTGGACCTGTGTCAGCTAGGGTTGCCAGGCCCAATTTTCCGATGCTTGGTTTGGAAACTTTGGTTCTATTGGTGACAGAGATGGAAGTTGCACCGGCGGTATTTGATCCGGGTGGAACACGAGCGGCTTGGGGTCCGGTGAAAGGGGCGATCTTGGGCTCCAATCAGCTGTTTGGGAGATCGGGCAGAGATAATCTAGCGATGGATAGACTGATGATGGGGCATGGAGAATTCCCGATGCATGTGATGGAGGAAGAGTCTGGAGTGTTGATGATTCGCTCCCCTCCTGAACCACCGCCACGAAGGAACTGTGTGACTAGGGTTTGGATTCAACTAGCCCATCACTTGAGAATTTTTTACTCCTGCTATTCTTTGCTTTCTAATTCTTATTTGGTTTTTATTATGTCAAACAATAAGAGTGGTAGGTGTGTAGTTTGGTTTATTTTATCTGATTCAGCCGCTAATAGCCTCAAAACTCTCACATGTTCAGCCATTAGTCTCGCTCTTTTTTGGGTGGACTTAGGGATGGACCCGGGCCGGTTCCGGTTCCGGGCCGGGCCCGGGTGGGTTTTTTTTGCAAATACTTGGGCCCGGAACCGGCCCAGATTGATACCGGGTCCGGGCCTAACCGGGCCGGGCCCGGTTCAATGTCTAATTTTTTTTTCTTTCTTGTTATCCACCGACCCCCCCCCCCACCCCCAAACCTCCCTAAAACACCCAGTCCTACCCTAGGAAAAGAAAAAAATTGAAAAAACAAAAAAAAATATGACCCGGGCCCGGCCCGAACCGCCCGGATCCGGCCCGAACCACCCGGGCCGGTTCACCCAAAACTGAGCCCGAGCCCGGCCCGTCCGACCCGCCCTAACGGGCTAAAAACCCGGAACCGGCCAACCGGTCCCGGTCCGGTACGGACCCGCACAGTAGCAGTTCCGAGCCTGTTCCGGGCCGGGACGGCCCGGTTTAGTCCATCCCTAGGTGGACTACTCTATGTCTGATCAAGGCGTGAGGAGGCCGGTGGATTTATGGTTAATGTTGGTTAGAGTAGGAGTGGACTCGGGCCGGTTCGGGCCCGGTTCAAGATGGGGAGGCCCGGAACCGGCCCGGGTAAACCCCAGGTCCGGGCCGGGCCGGGCCTCGGGTATTTTTTTTTTTTTTTTTTGGGGCTTTTCCTAGTTAACCCCCACCCCTCCCCCTCACCCCCAAACCAACCCTAACCACCTCAAATGGCCCAAAATAACCAGCCCAACCCAAAATCTCAAAAAAAATTCAAAAAAAAAATTAAAATTGGCCCGGCCCGGGCCCGAACCGGCCAGGCCGGTTCACCTTTTGAAGGGCCCGAGCCCGAACCGAGAATCCACCGGACCGGGTGGCCCGAACCGCCCAACGAACCGGTTCCCGGGCCGGTCCGGGCCCGCACAATGGCGGGCCGGTCCGGTTCCGGGCCGGTTTGCCCGGCCCGAGTCCACCACTAGGTTAGAGGGAAGTTAGAACTTTTGGTTATTGTTGTTCGTTTGTTTTGTTCCTTGGTTATAAACCGAGAGTTGATTTAATATAAAATGCTAGTTTCCCTTTTAAATTCGTGCCAAATTCAACCGTCATACATTATGGAAACGATTCTAAATTTATTCCACGGCAGTCATCAACTTCACTAGTTTATCAAATAAATTTTACCAAATTCTTTACTTTTATTTGGAAATTGATGTACAAAGTTCATAACTATATTTTTTTTACCAAAAGTTCATAACTATTTGAATAATTGAAATGTTTATTTAGTGCGGAGTATTTATTTTGAGATTTCGTCCCAAATCTGATCTAAATTATCGCTGAAATCATGAATAAATAATAATTAAATCAAATACATATACACACACACACTTCGCATATAAGAAGTATAAATGTTGTGATAATTGCATGCAGCTAGTAAACCCATGCTAGAAATTTAATGTAGGTCCAATAAGGTGAAGACTTATCAAGTCAATCTACATCTCTAGTTTCCTAGAAACTTGTAGAGCACATCGATTGCTTTCAAGAGCTGGTCATGAAAGATTGAAGTCATATTCAAAATATCAAGTTTATATGCTCTCTGAATTCTGAAAACATCTATTAGGTATACATCCAAAGCTTATTTGCAGGATTCTTTAGAGTAGCTAATCAAAGTCATTTTTCTACCACTTCAAGAGATTTTTCTTAAAGAAGATTTTACCTTTAAAATTGACATTTTCTGGAAAAACTAACCAATAGTCTAATACGAAGGTACTTCCGTTCCTATTAAAACTTCCAAATAGGTTTGGCACAGAGTTTAAGATAGTGGGTATTGTGTGGTGGAGAGTTGTGCAGAGGAGAGAGAAATGTGTAAGAAATGTTGTGAACCACAAATTCTTTACTAAAAAGGGAAAGTGGAAGTTTTAATTGGAACGGACGAAAAAAGAAAGTTGGAAGTTTATTTGGGAATGGAGGGAGTATATAAATGTCATCATCATTAGTTGATGCACCGTGCTGGCATTCTTCCTTTACATGGATACTAAGTTTATATACGGAGTATATAAATGTCATCATCATGACATGTGATACTAAGTTATTTACATGTTGCACCATTCGATTTGATTAAAGCTTGTTATTGAAGATAAATTCCTAAATTTTATAAAGGCTGCATAAATACATAATTACATAGAGCATTTTATTAAGCAGATTTAAAATAACTTATCCAATTCATAATCGTGAAACGTATATGAAATATATGCATCATAAAGCTATCCTGGAATCAACTTTTCACATCCAATCAAACGTAAACTGTAAACAAACACATCATTTAAGTACAAATTATTCTTTGCATCCTAGAAAATATTGCTACGAAACCAAAAGCCCACCGCGGCAAGGCACAAATATACATATTATCATTGAAAAACACTAATTTTAGCAGGAGAATGAGATACCGGTGAAATCTTTGGTTGAGTGGAGTGTGAAAGACTACAAGCATTGTTGTTCACCCCCGGCTCTCAGGTTTCACTTACTGATTTGTCCTTTTCCTTTAGCTGTTCATGAGCTTTCTGTACAAATGCTTTATTTGGGGCCAGAATTATAAACATATTCCTGTCTCTGAAATTCTTGTTCTCCAAAGTAGCAAGCTGTGAAATTTACAAGAAAACAGAAGAGTATAAAGTAAGAGGGGCTTAACAAAGTTCTGCTCTCAAAATGTAATTGGCACAAGCCAGGATAAAGGAGGAGGGTGCTGTGGTAGGCGTGTGACGGCCAACAGTATCACCTAGTCACATCACATGACATGAATCGAAATATGAATATCGTTAGGTTGTGATATCATGTATCGATTCATGTTAGCCGACCCCAATATCTTTTGGGACTAAGGCTTGGATGTTGTTGTTTTTGTTGTATGCATAACCCTATAAACTAATTAAGATTAGCTATGAAATTCTTGCATTTGGACTTCTTGCACTCCACAATAGCAAGCTGTGATATCTCCAAAGGAAACCTTCAAGTATATATATTATGTACTGATATTTTGGCACAAAACCTATTGGGCTGCGGCTTGCGGTCTGAATAGATATAAGCCTCTTACAGTAGGCCGATATAAAAACTGTTGATATCAGATCTGTTTGGTTCTTTAAGTTTACCGATTAACTCATAACAAGTAGTACACCAATATTAAGCAACAACTGTTGACAAACATATAACCATAAACAAGCACAAAAATGTTTGAGGAAAAAAATTAACACGCAAAAATCATTGCAAAAACAAGCGTAGATTAGGTGAACTAAAAATTAACTCATATAAACTAAATGTGAAAATTTCAAATGCAAAATAAAATATGCATGCATGTTTATTATCCATATACATTGGAATCACCGTTAAGAAGACACAAAAAACAACCATTAAATCATTAATAAATTAATAACCCATATGTATGAACTGAACTGGATTATAACGGTTCAATTCTAATTGGTCTCCATCCCCGGTTTCAAAATCCATGCCATACACCTTATCAATTCACAACTCCAAATTTAAGTAAACAAATAAAAGTATGATAAGTTTTATTTTAAGTAAACAATCCATGTAGAATCCATGCCACACACCTTATCAATTCTCTTTTATAAGTTTTATAAAAGAGAATCTCAAGGTAGACGGTCACCATGTAGAATTAATAACAATATCTGATGGAATGACATGCATTTGGTCACACTACAACGATTTTCTATATCACGGGATCCGCAGTAAGAATTTTAAACTTTTTTCCCTACCACATTAAAAAATCCTAAAGTTGAGGGTAACCATGCAGAATTTTCAAAAGTTTAATTAAGGATCGCCTTACTTTTATGTTCTTAATTTCTTACAAATAACCATTTAACACAAGTCTGTGTACCATGAGATGAACACTAACACTGTAAATATACGCACCTTTGAGCTTCTGTAGCATTTTAGATGTGAAAATGAAGCAGCAAACTTACCTCCAACATCATTTTGAAATTGTTTGAGCAGCTCAGTCGCTTTACTTTTAAACTCGTTCTCACGACCCTTTAGATTCACAATAACTTTCACCTGAAAAGAATTAACATTTATATAAGTGATGGAAATACGTGCGCTACTACATTAGAGGGCATACGAACTGGTAAATGCACAGTATCTCAAATAGCAAGTAACCTTATTGCCATCTCTTAGAAACCTCTGTGCAGCTCTCAAGCGCACAGAATAATCATGCACATCAATGCTGTAACTGCAAATAAAATGTTAAACCAATACCCCATTATGATTTGTTCAAGAAGTTCGAATTGACTCGGTATGTTGCATGCATCAATGCCTACAAAAATTAGAGAACATAAGTTGAAAAGTTGGTGTCGTTAAAAAGTAGAATCCCCAAAATTAATGTTGTTGCACTGCTCAAATGGATAAGGGTATCCATGTTCTACAATTTTTGAGACAGCACCGATCTTCTCATATGCATTATAGAATGAGTTTATAATGCTTTTCAACTACACTATACTCTCTGAGGTCCAACGTAATGCTCTTCAAACATCTTTGAAACCTTATTTGCATTAGGGATTTTATTAAAAGGATACAGCATTAAGCATACTAATGACTCATTTGTCATGGCATATGGTGACAATCATGGCGCCAAGTCATTTTTCCATGACGATGACACATTTATAGCGTCACCACATGACTCAAAAAATACTAAATACATGAACCATAAACACTATAAATATATAATTCAACCATCAAAAGATGATCAAAAAAATTGGGTACCCACATTCTAACCAAAACATGTGAGGTTAAAATAGTTTTAAAAAGTTTAAATTAGTTAAAATAGCTTAAGACCCGCATATTTTAATACCCTTCTGTGCAGCTTTTTTACTTTGGCTTTGCGTTAGTTGCATAATTTTCTCTGGCTTTATGTTAGCTGGCATCTGGCGTCTTTATATACTTCTTATTAGGGGTTTTATTAATATTATCATCCGATTGCTTAATTAAATAATTAGTAATCAAAACCATATTAACAGGCAGACTAGTTAGTTAATGATCAGGTCCAAAGCCCAAAAGTAAAAAACATGTTAAAATCTGTTTTAAAAATGGCGCACATGGCATGGCGCTTGCAATGGTGCCAATATGGCATCACCGCGTGTTTAGTCATTGCCATGAAGTTTTTTGTGGCGAAGAGCCTTTGTGCTGCCAAATGGTGCATTTGGTGAAATGGTGTGCGCCATATTGCGCCATCAACAACTATGCAGTCAACAGTGTCAAGTATGCATGCAACAGGTAAAGTGAACTGATTTCAATGCCAAATACCTTAAAAGAGCACCACCTGTTGAACACAATAATTAAAAACAAATTTTGGAAAGGAGTGTTGGAGTGCATGTGTACACATGTAATCAATGGAAAGCATATGTTTAAGCGCACATGTCAAGAGATTTGGGTGCATTTATCACGGTGAATAATTCAATAAATAGTTTCTTGAAGCAACAGAAATCAACGGAATAGAGGAATTGATTTCGGTGTATTTATTACGACAAACAAGTCAATAAACAGTTTCTAAAAGCAACAAAAGTCAATGGAGCAGAGGAGTAAATAGCAAAGTATTTCTAAGTTATAGCACGAGAGGAAGTTACCCCATTTTCAATTCCTTCAAATCCATGCGGTTGGCTGTCACTCAATGAATACTTCAGTAAGAAAAAGTTAACCAGACTACTCTTTAGGAAAAAGAACACATTTTACAGGTTCTTTACTATTAAATTAACCATGAAGTTATTCGAAATTAAATGATACTTACCAGCATTTTTCTTCTGCTGGTCCTTTTTCTTCTTTTGCAGTTCATATTTGTATTTACTACATAGAGGAAAGCAGATTATTTTTAATCGTGAAAATTTAAACCTACTGGGAACATATATTACTGCATGTTTATCACTCAGAAATGCCAACTTCTGGTCATTCTAAAGTACGCCAGTTGCAAACCCTAGAGGTTCAAACAAGAAAATAACATCTAAATGTAACCAATTTGCACTGGTAATATATAGGAAAGAAGAAGAGTGAAGAGGTGCATCTTACTTGTAATCCATTATTTTAACAACAGGAGGGTTTGCTTCTGGAGATATAATAACCTAATGGATTATCAGGGAGTATCACAGACAATAAAAAATAAATACTACTTGTGTTGAATAAAGCATAAAAAATGCTAAATATCAATTTAACAAATCTGATCATTAAACATGCCTTCTTTTGACAAGTGAGAAGTTTTTTAAAGTAGGATATCATATATTTGATATTTAAATCTTGTGCTAGTATATATGCATGTTTCTCGCTAACGTTGGCATTAAGAGCTAGCACCAAGCTCTCTGAGATCAAATCTAAAGAGCAAGCGTTTTATGACTTTATCACAAGAAATCTTAATAATCAACCTAATAAGTACTACTCCCTGCATCCCTCCCATCCTTGATATATGGCTTTAGAAGGACCAGTTGTCTTTTCTACAAGGCATTGACTTTTCAATAAAGCATTTGCTATTATTTCTATTTCCTGCGCCTAATAAATAGACTGTTCAAGTTCTCTTGTCATGTTTCATGACTTGCGAATTGATTTTTCAATGTTGACAACACCCACCCTCAACCAATCACCTTATAATGCTATTTTTTAAGTGGAAATAACCTTTGATGAGGTTGGTTTTAGTACTTCATCTATTTAGCATTATTCCTTCTTAGTTCTCACTTACTTTGCAAGACGATTATGAGTTGCTCTTTTGCACAAAGTTATAGTGGAACTAATCTCAAGTCTCAAATAACCAATTAATTAGCACCGTATAATTTAAGCCGCTGATCCCAGCTTAAGGTTTTGCTGGTGATGATAAATAAATGAAAGTAAAATCAGGGTATAGTTTTAAAAAACAAGGCTCTTCTATGATGCCTATATGATAAAATATCTTCAATACGAAGCGGATCACAAATTCACAATATAATATTTAAAGCAACACCCTCCCTAAATTGAAAAAAAAAAAATCTACTATCTCCGTCCCACTACCATTGGGACATGAAGAGGTGGTGTGGTTATTAAGAAAAGTAGGTCTATGTGGTTGATACTGAATTGACAAAGTAAGAATAAATTTAGAATGATTTAGAACCGCATAAATTTTACCAAATTTGGTATGAGACAATCTTAGTGGGACGGAGCAGAAAGGGAAGATGGGACAATCTTAGCGGGACGGAGGGAGTAATATTTAACTACTTACTTGGGTTTGTATGGTTTACCTGACTATGGGTTATAAATTATCATAAGGTCTACAGGAAGCATATCTAATCTTTTCATCAAAGATTAGCTTTCTGTCAACAAAAAATCAGCAAGTTCCCTAATATATGAACTCAAGCAAGCTCTAACCTTTTAACTCCGTACATCCCTATGAATATTTTGAATCCATTTCAGCTTAAGACTTCTGTAGTCCAATCAGATTCCTCTTACTGTACTCATCTCTTAGATGATTCTGGTTCAAGGATAAAATGAATGTTTTGAATCCATTTCAGCATAAGGCTTGTGTAGTCCAATAATATTCCTCTTACTGTATTCATCTTGTAGATGATTCCGGTTCGAGGATAACATCAATTGCACACTACACAGCTAAGCTAAATCCTCCATGAGAAATCACAGAAAAGTAGAAAAAGAAAACTTCAATGTTCAAAATACGGAGTTAGTAACGCACCAAATCAAGTTCAGAGTCCTCAGCTCTTTGAATAGCTTCACTTTTGGAAATTATCCCCACCTAATGTAAACAAGAATGCAAATCAATTAAATGCATAAATTTTAACTACGGAAAACTAATACATTATGTAATACTCGTTCTCTAATAGAACTAACCATATTTTGTTGTTGATCAATAAGTCTAACATCGTTTGACCTATATAGAGCAGTCAATTCCAATCAGAATTCAGTACACGCAGGAGAAAACTATGCAGTGAAAAAACATATTTTCAGATGAAGTAAATACAGTAAACACATAATTAAGTCCGTAATAAGCATTACTTAAAGGAAGACGAGAATTAAGTTATCACACTTTTTGCATAAAATCTATGCCCCGTCCTCCATTCTCTGGTGCCAAGTGAACGAGAACTAAATTATAAAAAATTGAATTATTTAAAAAGAAGAACCTTATAGAAGAGATGTCTAGGGCGTCGTCATCATTAGAGCTGCCTGCACGACGGCCACTATACTGGGCGGAGATTGCGGCTGTGGTGAAGGAGGAGCTGGACAAAGAGAATGTGGGAGAGGGAAGGCGGATGGTCAAGTGGGTGGACTGAAGATAAGGAAGGAAGATGGGTTTCGGTTTAGAAATAATGGAGTTGAATGTCAAAGTACTGGCAAGACCCGCCATGGCAGAAAAATGTAGAAGCTTTGAGTTGGGTTTTGAGGACTATAATCGGATCTTACGAGAGTCTAAAAAGAAATTGAAAAAAAAAATCCAATGTAAGGATAAACTACGAGTATTTATCCATTACACATACGATCAAATTTAATCGTGGTCAGGGAATTAATGTTAATTAATTAATTAATTATGAAAAATAATGTTGGGTTAAAAGTATTTACGGATCTACTGCTGGGTTTAATCGTGGTCAGGGAAAGTCGTCCAACGGTTGGGCGACTTATAAGTCGCCAAAGGGTTTGGCGACTTATAAGTCGCCCAACCGTTGAGCGACTTTCCCTTTAGATTTTTATAATATAATAATACAATAATCTAATAAGAATATTTAAATAATAGGAGTTTTTTTCAAATTAGTTTTTGAATATTTAAATAATAGGAGTTATTTAAATAATAGGAGTTTTAGAAGAGAACATACGTAAAATATTGTAAATTGTTCCTACAACATACTGCAATACAAAAGACAAACTACAAGTTCTCATGGTCATCTTGATCATCTTGGTCATGGAGATGTTGTTGCTGATGTCTACGCCTACGCCGTGGTTGTGGTTGAAGAACCACTCTCTCATGTTGCGTCTGGGATGATGAAGTCGCCGTTGCACTAGACGTCGGTGCCATCTCCTGAGATGGGGGCATGTGTATAAGATGGCCGTAGTCGACTCGCCCCAACACATCTGAACACAAGGAGGCAATGCGTGTCAGAGTCTGTCCATACATGTCCACATCATGAGTATCACTCACTGTGGCAGTAGCCCGCTGATGTATACGCTGCAAAGCTCGTGTCTGAAATATGAAACACAATTACAATTAATTGAAATACATACAAGTATTCAATAAATAAAATGACTTACTTTACTAATTAGTAATATACTCACCGTAAGATGCAAAGCCAATGAGCTAGGCTGATAATGATGAGCAGGGAGTCTGAACGAAGGAGACACAAACAAACGAGTGATGCTGTAATATCATCCCATGTAGTCTCCTGAAACAGATGGGACAAATGTCGGTGTCCCAGTCACAACTAGCTCAGCTCGCCTGTCCCACATAGTGACGTATCGGACATGTCTGAGTGCCCAATCCTCCGAATGCTTCCCACGCCTATCCAGCCTATGAAGCTCTACATAAGTGTCGATAGGCTGTGGAATGACCTGCTCAAACCCAAACTGTCGCAAGACTCGATCAGGCAAATGAAACTCAACAATGTCAAAACATATCAACGGCACACGTGCTCGCCATATGTCAGTATGCTCTCGTAAAGTCGGGGGCAACTCTGCAAACATCTCAGCTGTATAGGGCATCCATGTAATCTGTTTTATAATGATACAAAATTAGTATTTATGCTATACATTTTATAGTTAATGTTATATTACCCACACCATATATGATCCTCAGACATCCGATCAAATGCATCCCTGTAGACACCGAGCCCAGTAGCGGATGACATGCGACTTAGACCAGCAAATAGCCATCTGGAGGAGTAGCAAAAATCATCCAAGCTCTGTGCTCCCTCTATGGCAGCCGCGACACAGCTGTCTGTAGAGATAGGCCAACGTGGCACTACCCCAGCTGAACTGTGTTGCTACATCAAACCTCTCTAGCAATGGCAAGTGCAGCACCTGAACCTCATTTCCGCTCTTGTCAGCGAAAATGGAGGCTCCCATCATCATCAAGATATATGCCCGCGCATGCTGCTGGATCATCACCTCATCAGCGTCCGGATGAAGCACCTGGAAGTGCTCCCTCAACCATGGCATCCTCAGGGATGACCCCTGAAGGTCAGTCCGAAGAACGGGGCGGACACCTAACAAGCGCTCACACTCATCTACCTACTGTCGACAAGCAGTGCCTGTAACAGCTCTCACATGAACCTGTAGCCCAGTAAGTACAGCAACATCTCCCAAGGTCACTGTCACCTCACCAACAGGGAGGTGAAATGTGTGTGTCTCATGTCTCCAACGCTCAAGAAGAGCAGTGAGTAGCGCTCTATCGAGAGGGACAATAGCCACCAATATGTGGAGACCATAAAAACCCGCAGCACGAACATATGCAAGTACTCTGTCGTCCACATGCATATGCGACAAATCGCGTAGGTGCTCGCGGCACCTATCCACCTGAACATCGAGGCCAAGCCACACATCCTCACTCCTGTGCGATGCCTGCAATGTTAGGACAGAACGATCACTCGGCCCAGGATCCGCTGTCACATCCATGCCTACTAACAATTAAAATCGTATTAGTTAATTTTTAATATTATACTAATTCTTTTTTTAATCATCCATTTTATTAATTTAAAAAAAAAGAATTTTCAACTCACATTTCAATATCAAAATACCAAAATTTAAGTCTACATTTCAATACAGGTGTTATGCTTCAAAAAGACCATAAGCTTGAAAACCAAATTCATAATCTTCATTACAACAATACAACCAACCCGAACAAACACTTCATTACAACATTACAACATCTGCTAATATATCCTACTTCCCAGCAAGACGATAACAAACAACCCGAACCACACTACATTCCAGGAGAAAGTCCCATTGCCTTTCTTTGACATCTTCAGTTCCTCTTCCATATTTTGGACTTTCAAAAGACCAATTCCACGAACACAACACTTGATTTCAGCTTGCATCTCTAATTCTTTCATTCGGAAATTCTCTTCAACACTGGTAATCTTCTGAAGCAAGGTATCTATTCGTCTCAGGCAAGTGCCACATTGTTCATCCTCAACCCATTCAAAGAAATTGCACTTTTGACCACTCAAGAAACGACCACACCCATAAAATCTTTTCCCCCTGTTTTTGTCTGTTGTAGCAGTTCACACTGGTGCTTGGAGTCCACAGTCACACCTCTTAATTCGCCTTGTTGCATCCATCGACCATGACTCAGCACTCGAAGAACTCATCGCACCTTAATTTTTTTAGCATTAATAAAGTTTAAATTATCATTTCCACTCTTAATTCGTTAATACGCGTGGATTTAAATGAAGATTTCTTTGTTATCTCACCTTAAATTTTTTAGCATTAATAAAGTTCAAAAATTTAACAAACTTCAATTCATACCTCAAAATCTACATTACATAACAAAGTTCAAAAAAAATTATATAACAATGAATTCAACATCAACATACAACACTTCATACATATTCACATTACACAACAAATCAATTCACAAATGAATTCCTAATTCACAAATTCCAATTTTCTATATTCTAAACCCTAAAATGAAAAATGAGATAAATTGGAGATATTTGTTTACCTAGAGTGTTGAAGAAGATGAAAGGAAAGTAGTATTGACAAGATACGGAGGCCTTGTCGTCGCTCGCCGGAGATTAACCTTTGCCGGAGTCAGGGGGAGGTGTGTCGCCGCACTTCGCCGGAGTCAAGGGGGCTGCAGAGGGTTTGGGAGTTTTGGGGATTTGGGGGAAATGTTGCGTTCTGCCCGAACCCGACTTATGTTTAAGGGGTAAGTCGTCCAACGGTTGGGCGACTTATAAGTCACCAAACCACTCTGACCACGGTTAAACCCAGCAGTAGATCCGTAAATACTTCTAACCCACCATTATTTTCGTAATTAATTAATTAATTAGCATTAATTCGAAAAAAAGCTCCTCAAAAGTTAAAAAATCGTAAATACTTCATTTTTGGAATTTTATGAATTTCAGACCTGAAACTCTGAAAGATAGACGAATTATCAATTTGGGGCCTCTAAGATGAAATGTATCAGTATAGGTCTCGAAAGTTGAAAAACTATTGATCTAGACTCGACATTTCATAGGTTTTAATTTATTTAATTTTTTATTAATTCCATTGCTAATATTTGATGAAGTTTTCTTCACAAAGGTTTATTAGTTTAATATAACTGCATATTATGTAAAAAAATTAAAATAAAAATAATAATAATATTTATGAAAACTTAGGTCTTAAATCGATAGTTTTCAATTATTCGGGTCTTAATCATAAATAGTTAAAAGATGACTAATTCCTTATGTTTCCACAATATGATGAAAATCAAAGTTAGGGAAAAAGAGTACAACAATTGATGTCATAGTATTACAATGTACCGTCTCGTTAAAAACCTTGTCAAAAAAATCCAGTGGAATAAAAACCCGACAAAGGGAAAAAGAGTGTAGTGCACATTATATTATCCCCCTCAATTTAACATATATCTCAAAGACGACACATTCCAATTTTGTGGACCAGTTCTTTGAATTTCTTCGGTATCAATGAATTTGTGAATAAATCAGCAGGGTTGGCGCATGACTTGATTTGTTTGACATCAACCATTCCGTCTTTCTCAAGATCATGTGTGGAGAAGAGTTTTGATGTCATATGCTTTGTTATGTCCCCTTTGATGTAAGTCATTTAACATCCTTTGACCTGGGCTATATATATATATATATATATATATATATATATATATATATATATATATATATAGTATATATATATGGTCTTAATTATTCGGGTGCCGATCAAATAAAAACCATTCCTCCCGTGAAAACTGCAAACCGTTCACTTTTTTCACAGTCTGATACACTATTAGATTTTTATGTTGCACTTTTTCGAATAGTCAGAAAACTTTGACTTATTTACAAAAATGACACCGCATTTTTTTGAATTTAGCATGGTTCGACCAAAGTTTAAAAAGTGCAACAGATCACCCTTAAAGTGCATCACACGGGGGAAAAGTGAACGGTTTTTAGTTTTCACGTTAAGATTGGTTTATATTTGATCCGAAACCTATATATATATATATATATAGATAAACCCTAGGCGGAGGTGCTCATGGCGACGACGTCTGCATGGGCCGCTCCGGCCGGAGAGCCGGGGGCGGCAAATAGATCATTTGCTGAGGTGTTGGCTGCGAATAAAGAAATATCCTTGAAAAACACCCTATCGGCATCGTGGAATGCCTGCCGTGCAATTCTCAGAAGAAGAAGTTTCAACTCTTGCTGCTCAACATAAATTTGCATTAGTCGGATCCTTCGTTAGGGGTAGACCGTCTATGATCCTTTTACGACAAGAGTTTGATAAGATA